GTAAAATTATGGACTTATGACATGATTTATGATTGGAAATGCAATTGTTGGTATATGCATGTTATGATATATTGAATTTGTGACAAATATGGTATCTATATGCTTAGAACATGATATGTTGAGATTGTTCATATGTCATTCATAGCATATTGAACATTATATCATTGTACATAGAAGCATCACATTCATGGGCATAAGTCATGAGTGTGGGTGTGTGAGATGCATGGTTAATCAAACACCTTGTTTGGTGGTTGGTATGTGAGTTCGGGAAAAAGTGGATCGAAGATCCTCGTTGAGTCACATGGTTGCATGGAAGAAAACTTGTGTCGGGTATAACAAGTAGGGTTAAACTCTCCCTCGGGTGCAAAACCCGGCGACTTGGTTATACACTCCCCTGTGGTGAAATTTCAAAAAAGTGTAGTATGGTATACGGAACCGGCGGTATAAAATCCAAAATCCGTTGCCCAACAAGACACAAGATTTTGATTTATAAGAAAATACTCATTTAATGAGTACCATCCAATAATGATCTGATTTATAAAACGCATGCTTTTTTATTCAAAGCGATCATTAGATGTATTTCCGTCGAAGACGAGTCATTACACATTGGCATTGCATTGTGTTGTGGAAGTCAGTGAGGACTTGGGTTTTTGTGCATGAGTGAGTATCATCTTATTTCATGGCATGACATGGTTGCATTTCAAGATTGAATACATATTCTTGTATGAATGGTTGTTAAATGTTAAATGTTGTTTATACATATTACATATGCATTTAAGGTAGGGAGTAGCCCTAGTAGGAGCTTTTCTCTACTGGGCGTTGGCTCACCCTATACGGGAAACATTTCAGGTACGGGTCATTAACCGAGTGACGGCACTTACTCGGGCACTTAAGGAGGAAGAAAAGCTGACTTGTGGTTTTCAATCCATTTTTTTTGTAAAATTAGACTTGTAATTAAATTTTGGCATGTAATGTATAAATGAATTGTGATAGAATCTATATCGACTATTTTAATATAATTTTGCATGTTTGTATGAATATGGATAATTGGACCCGATGTGGCCAATGTTTACTTATAAATGGACCCGGTGTTGTCATTGTTGAATATAGGACCTCAGATGAGTTTTGTTATTATATAATGCACAGGTTGTGTTTTGAGTAGAGTTCTCCTTGCAAAGGAGACTCTGCCCAAATTTTTAATAAAGGATGGACCCCGGTAAATGGGGCATAACGTTGAGATATCGAGTTACTCGGTATCCACGGGCATTCCGCAGGTTGATGAGTAATCAACGGACCCCCGGATTTTGGGGTGTCACAGATCTGAGTTGTGAAAAGTTAAAGACAAAAAAATAGTCATTCAACTCGTTTTGATACAAAGAATCTGTATTTAAGGTCCATTTATTTATTTAAAATTTTTAAAAATAATCTCTAATTATAATCATAATTAATGATTTAATTAATGTGTAGTATGAGATAGAAAGTTATAAGAGAGATAGAAGTATTAGAATTATAAAAGGAATAAAAGTCTTGCTCAAAAAATTGGGGGGAGTGAAAATTTCGTATTCAGACCGTCGAATCAAACTAATAACATAGTGAGCAAGTTTTTCAACTTTTTTTCTCGAAAACCAACGACATAGAAATTCATGATGACCAGAACATCAAGACATCGAATATTTAAACTTCATTTTCCTGTTCACCCACAATAACATCAAATTTTTTCCCACAATAACACAACAAAGAATTTTTTGATTGATTTGTCCAACAAAAGATCCACAAAATCGAAACCAATATTACTTTAATTTAATAATAATGAATCGCAATTTTAAAATTAAGAATACAAAAAAATGAAAAGTTTGAAATATAGAATATGTGGAAGATTTTTTAAAACCCTACAATAAACATCAACTTTTCCATAAAATCATATACCTTAACTATATTTTTGAGTCCCAAAGGTGTGAAGATATTTTGAATGCCAAGAATTAAATGCCACTTTGTCAATGGAGTCCACAATTACTGGAATAGTAAAATCGAAATGGTATTTACTGAATGTAATCAGTTTAAAATTTGAATTTGAATTTCAATTTAGGAAAGAATTAAGAGATAATAATTTCTAATTTAAGAAATTAATTCAAAGCTACTTTTAAGGTCTTTAAGGTTTCTATAATTGAACAGACTAACAATATTAAGGGTATTTTTAGGATTTAAAAAAATAATGGACTTAAGTACTTATTTATAAGATAAAAAATAAACTTAACACCAAATAAGTTTTTTAGACAGACTCAAGTCATTATAAGTCCATATAGGAGGATTTAATTCCAATTTTTACTTTATTTTTTGGAAAATTATAAAGGGGTACACAAAATTAGAGTTAATTATTAAAAAGTACATAACTTTTAATGTTAAGTAATTAAGTAATTGTTTTAGAATTTAATTGTGTTCAAATATACAATTTGATTTTTTGTGATTTTCTTTTGACATATTTTCCCTCATATATATTTAGAAAAATTAAAACTTATAATAAATTTTATCTATTTTTTTAGGGATATGTTTCAAAGTTTTTGAAAGTTTTTAAAATTTAAAAACTAAAATTAAGGAATTTTAATTATCTTATTGTAGAAAGTACTAAAATTAAAGAATTTTTAATTTTACATTAGATTTAATTTGGTGACGTATATATGTGTTAATATATATATATATCAAAATTCTTTAATTTTAGTACTTTATAAGATAATATAATTAAAATTTCTTAATTTTAGTTGTAAAATTTTCAAAGTTTCAAAAAATTTTGAAACGTATCCTTAAAAAAATGTAGAGGATTTATTATGGGTTTTGATTTTCCTAAATTTTATGTTTTTGTTTTATTACAACTTCTATATTTATATGTAGAGTTTTTTTTTCAATTTTTTTTAGGAAACTTATTTACAATAAAAGTCAGTATGTAATGTATTTTTAATTTTTAGTATTTATTTTTATATTTTGTTAACTAATTTCTAGAAGTTTAGATAGGCAAAGTGTTAGTGGTGTAGTTTTAGTAGGGTTTTTAGAGTATCTTCAAGGGAGCTCTTTAAAATAATTAGTTAAAATATATTAAAATATTACATTCTTTATTTTAAAGAGTCATTTTTACAAAATTACTCTAATTATACTCTCTATTTTAATTAACTATTATAAATATTTTAAGTCAAAAATATTACATAGTTTGATATGTCATTAAAATGTAAAATAACTAGCCCATTGAGTACAAAAAGAGTGATTTGGCTCTCCAAATATAAAATAACTAACTAGACTCTCTACATTTAGAGAGTCATTTAGCCCAAATATAAAACAACTAACCCCTTAGAGTAAAATTTTATACTTTGACTATTTATTTTAGCTAATAAATGTAAAATAGCTAGTGCCTTCGAGATTCTCTTAGTTAGTTATCTAGGTAATAGGGCCGAGGCTATCTTTTAGGAGTTCTCTCTTTGTATTAAAGAGTGTATTTATGAAATTTATCATTTTTATTTTTCTTTTTTGTAAATACTAAATAAACCTAAAAAAAATCGAGAATATTTAGAGAAATCTTTGAATACCTGTAAATATCTATATATTTGTATAGAACATTTTAGAGGTAGGCTAGATGATTGACACTTGATAAGATATTAGTCATTCATTATAAATCCAAGAGCCTATAAATAGGAGGTTGAGTCTCATTTGTTTACCAGTAAATAGGAGGCTGAGTCTCGTGTGTATAGAACACACGCCGTCCATACACATGCCGTAATATAGGGTGTCAAATATGTCGGATTAAATGGTTATATGTCGGGTTAAACGGGTGATGAGTAAAAAATATATAAATTTGTACACGACATGTTTAATAAATAGATAAAAAATCTCAACACAAATACGACCCGTTTAATAAACGGATAACATGATACAACTCTTTTAACCTGTTTAATTTAAAAAAAATTATATTAACAAATTTTAATACTCTATTTTTTTTTATTGGTAATTGCACTTAACTAAAAAAAGAGGAATTTTTAGCCAAATCTCATAAAAATAAGACTTGAAGACTTAAAAAAAAAGAAACAAATGTGGAACAAAAACAAAAAGACATTAGTTTGCATTTGTCTTTGAAGTGCTCCTCATCTCATCTCTTGTCTTTAAACTACTATTTTATTATTATTATTATTTTATTGATTTCTTTAGTTCTTTTTTTCTTGCTAATTTTTTAAAATAAATTTTTATTTATTATTATATTAATTTTATTTAATATAATAAAATTAAATATAATTTTATTTAATTATATTTAAATAATTAATTAGGTCTCACCCGAACCCATAATACCATGTATATAGTTAGGTCTCACCCGAACACAACTCGTTGATTAAACATATTTGGCGTGTCAACACATTTATCACTCAAACCCGTTTAATTTGTGTCGATTCGTGTTGGTTAATTGTGTTGTATCGAATTTTGACAGCCCTAACTATATACATGTTCAAAAGATTAAATATTATATCCACGGATACATGTTTACTTTATTCTTGTTTATTTGTTATTATATGAAATAAATGGTCTTGATCTTAATATATCTAGGTATCCATGTATATATATTTAAAAGTTTAAATATCATATCCACGTATACACGTTTATTTTATTCTCTCGTTAATTTTTTAACATATAAAAGAAATGTTAAGCTATATATTAACATTTTCTGCTCTTTATAATTTGTCTCTATTTTCACTTTGATCCCATATCACATGGTATTATGGGTACCTTCTAAAATATGGAAAGTGAATGTCTCACAAAGTCAATCTGAAATAATTTCTAATTTGTCATCAAACTTAATGCTCAATTAAAAAAAGAGTGGTTTGTAAATATACATGTTCAGTTAGGGTATATTATGGTATGAGATTGAACAATTAACCCAAAAATTTGATGTTAGATAATATGAGTCGGTATTTGTAGTACGGGACCTTGATCTAAACTTGAACTATCAATCCAATCATTTAATACCTCTAATGTACTTGTCCTAATTGTGTTATGATCCAAGGTTCATGGGGTAGCGTCAGAGGTCCCTGAGCCTCCGAGCAGCCACCGACTGAGGTTATTGTCCCTGAGCTAATGACGGAGCCATTTGGACCTCCCTGTCCCGGCACCAACGACGGACCTCCTTGTCCCAGAGACTGTCCCGGAGCTAGCGACGAATCTCCCTGTTGTTGAGCCACCAGAGATGAAGGAAGGCGAAGGGGAAAAAAGAACAAACTATATAAGAACCCTTCTTTTTGGCTATCAGGTAGATAGAGATATAGCAGGGAATTATAGCATTGGTTTCGTTTCTTGATGATTGTGCTTCAAATTTGACTGTGGTGTCTATAATTTTATAGCAGAGGTAGAGGATAACCTCACTTTTGCCGGTCCTGATGCCGCCAATACTCGAAGATCAGCAGTTGGTGATTATCAGAGGAGAAAGGGAAGATCAAACCAAAAGAAGCAGAAGAGAAGAAGCGCATTGATGAAGATAAAGCCATTCTCAAACAATTCATCCGAGCCAAATCCATTCCAAGCTTGTAATTGAACTCTTTCAGTATTCTAACTCTTTCAATATGCAGAACTAGTTTGTGATACATTTGTTTTTATCACACTCTCTCTAGTTGGTTTTAGTTTGTGATTCATTTGTTTTTATCACTCTCTCTAGCTTATGATTCATTTGTTTTTATCTCTCTGGTTTGTGATTTATTTGTTTTTATCTCTCTCTAGTTTGTGATTCATTTGTTTTTATCACTCTCTCACTCTATAGTTAGTTTTGTTTTTATTTAGTTTGTGATTCATTTGTTTTTATCACTCTCTCGTAGTTGGTTTTGTTTTTATTACTGTGTCACTCTGTAGTTGGTTTTGGTGGTTTTTGTTCGTGATTCATCTCTCCCTCTGTAGTTGGTTTGGTTTTCGTTTGTGATTCATTTGTTTTTATCAAGCAGCATTGGTGTTCCAAGTTGACAGTGTTAACAGCGAATGGCTATTTTAGGTGCGGCCTAGTGGTTGGTCTTCTCTTAAATGTGTAAAGTATAGCCCGCTGACGCTTTTGTTCTCTCTTTTTTCAGAGAATTCTTTTGGGTCGACACCTGAGAGACCACTTTTTTTCAACCAATGTCCCAGGAAGGCAAACAACGTGGGCACTTGCTGGGGCAATTAAAAAGTTATTTCTAATGCCTTTTGGATGAGATGTGTTCACCAGTGACTAAATATGATCGTTAAAACTAGGCAGTGCAACTTGTAGCGTCTGCATTATAACAAGGCACACATGAACATCTGGACAAACCATAAGAGAGATTCACAAACCATTCAGAACATACTCACTTCAAATAGTAATTAACTCAATAGTGTAACTTCAACGAAAGCTTCATTTCATAAATGTGCATGCAAAAGTACAGCACAATATAATAAACCATAGCCCTTGATTTTCTTTTACAAAAAAAAAAAATATTCACTAATAATCTAAGACAACACCAGACTAAAATCACCCTAAAGACAATTTGGTCGTTTACAAGAAAAAATAAATAAGCTTTGATGTCTTGCAAGTTAGCAGCAGATCTTTCCGGGCAGAGTAAAACTACATTTAACTTGGACCTAGTGGCAATATTGGACATCCTTTGGTCTTGGTTGTTGGAGAGCTACAATCATTTTTTTTTTTACCTCCCCGACAAAATAAGAACAGAACTGCATCTTTCCTTTGCAAAAGGTTAAAAAAACCTGAAAGAAATTAGAGGGTGAAGCAGTAATTAAGAAGTAGAAAGGGTGGAATAAAGCAAGCTGCCTGTCCCTAAACAAAGGCAAATTGCATTGCCGCGGATTCCAGGACAGCCACCGTTTGGACCTTGACATTAGAAGCACGTGCTACCAACTTCAAAGGTGCTTGAATGCAAGAAATGTCGAAGCTTCAAGTTGCCCGGGAAAGAAGCTTTCTCCTTTGGAAATCCAAAAATGTCAACCAAGTGACNAGCATCTTGCAACTATTGTAAAAGTTGAACAATCCAACAATTTGAGTTAGTAAAGATTGACTTAGACACTAGTATATACAATCCTTGAGGCCTAGTGATACTTCTGTCATTCCCATGGGGATGTGCAGGGTTCAACCCTTGTTAAGGGCCCTTGGTGTGGGGTTGGGACACACTGGGGCTGTTGGCTGGGTTGGTTTTTGTGTGTGTGTGTGTGTTTCTTTTTTTTTTTCCTTTTGTGGGTGGAATACAAAAATACAAAAAATGATCCGAAGCATATGACTNTTCTGTCATTCCCATGGGGATGTGCAGGGTTCAACCCTTGTTAAGGGCCCTTGGTGTGGGGTTGGGACACACTGGGGCTGTTGGCTGGGTTGGTTTTTGTGTGTGTGTGTGTGTTTCTTTTTTTTTTTTCCTTTTGTGGGTGGAATACAAAAATACAAAAAATGATCCGAAGCATATGACCGTCCCATGGTCACACAGCCAAACTCTTATGAGACCAACATCTCCAATCCAAAATGNGTGGGTGGAATACAAAAATACAAAAAATGATCCGAAGCATATGACCGTCCCATGGTCACACAGCCAAACTCTTATGAGACCAACATCTCCAATCCAAAATGGTGCAGCAACACAATTGCAAAAGTTCATACCAAATATAGCCTCAAATAGTATAATTAAATCGAACCTTAAGGGTCATGTAGTCACGACTAAGTATATATCTTCCATCCCTTCCAAATTTAATATCTGAAATTGAGGCAATTATCTCAGTGAAAAATGATCTTGAACCAGGTGCTTCCTGCTCCTCAAACCTGTGCGCAAAAGAAACATTATTGTTACATGCATACAATGAAACAATTGAGCTCAATTTAAGTTCAATTGGGAACTTAAAAAACAGTGTTCTATCCTTAATAAAACTGCTTTAACGGTCCCAACCCAGCCAATCATTCTCTTTCTGGTTTATTTCTTGTAAGGATGCAACACAGGAAGGACTGAAATGGTAGGAAAAGTAATAAGGCTGGCCACACAAACACTTACAATTTACAATGACTATCACACAAAGCTGATTGCCGCAAATCAATAAGACGAATTGATCCTTTCGAACTACTATATGCTAACATATTACAGTGGGTAGGATGAAACTCAGCTGATGTTATCACCTCTGCAACAAGAAAAACAAAGGTTACAAGCAACAGATTATTGGGGAATCCCATGAAATTGTTCAATCTGACCAACAAAAAACAGAGAATGAAAAGGTTACAAAAAAAATATTTCAGTCTTACTTCTCTGCATATTTAAACCAATACACAACTCTCTGTCTAGTTGTCAGGAATCTGGCCCGAGATGTGTTTTCAGGAAATTTTGGTTAGAAAACTAAATATATTCATCATCCTGCTTGAAATTGGTTTACGAACTTAGCCTTAAACTTCTCGCGGAACAATATGTTGTATAAATGCAAGACAAATCTTGGAAGGAAAATGATTCCTACGTGAAAGTGATTTATGGTGAGACCCACACGCTTCCTAGCGACAACCGACTGCACCAGTGGATCAAGAAAACATTAATATTTTCCTTTCCTCTCTTTTCTTGTCAATCTAATGCAGCATGAATTAGTATGCCAAACCAAGTCCTAACTGTCCTACAACAGCATGAAAAGCAATAAAATAGCCCAAAAAAAAAAAGAAAGGAAGGAGAATATTCTATGAACCAAAAACTACAATATGGAAAGAATATGTGCCGATGAAAAAAAGCTAGGTGTTTCTTAAAATTAGAGTCCACTCAACATCTCTCGAATCTATCAAAATCTTAGTGGAAAAGAAGGAAAAGACTCTCAGCATATCCTGAATAAATTTGGAAAACCAATTAAATTGCTAAAACGTATACCAGTTAGATCCTCCATATTCGCTGGCTTCACATCAACAATATTGAAGCTTTGATTGCTGATTTCCAAGTTCCACAAGTTTATTCGCAGATCATCAGCCGATATAAAAGTTTCACCATCACTAGAAAGTAAGAGAAAAATAGACAGACAGTCAGTGAAAGCAGAAACACATTTTAATTGAGACATAGACTAGACAGCATAGCTGCAAGAACATGACACCAACAAGGGCAACATCACTTTGTATAACTTTCAGATTCAAGTAATTATAATCATTCAATTATGTACCTCGATGTTGACAGCTGTTAAACTAAATGCCTTATTATGAAGCAGTAAATGCAAGAGATGACATAGTTCAAGAAAATAATCCACAAAGAACAACTCTAAAACAGGGTATATGATTACTGGTTCGTAACAGAAATGAAGATTTAGCCAGAAAATCGTAACAGACCATATCATTCTTCAGAGAAAACAAGCATGTCTCTGGAATCAGTAGTCATAATGGTCAATCTTTCCATGGGTAATTATGACACAAATAAATAATAACAGAAGCCAAATCAGCATGTTCACAATCATAANAATCAGTAGTCATAATGGTCAATCTTTCCATGGGTAATTATGACACAAATAAATAATAACAGAAGCCAAATCAGCATGTTCACAATCATAACATGAGTTAATGATGGAATGGTATCAAATTAAAAAAAAAAACAAAGAAGGCTCCAATGCCAAAATAGAACTACGGCCAAACTAACCATTTTCCCATATAAGGCACAGCTTTATTTTTCTCACATATACTACAGGAGAGANAGGCACAGCTTTATTTTTCTCACATATACTACAGGAGAGATTTCACATATAACAAAACATCGCAACAGGAGAGATTTTCTTTTCAGCCTAATGAGAAATAGAAATCAGAAAATAAAAAAGATATCCAGGATATCCTAGGGGATCACAGGTTCCTTTTCATCACATGGATCGTGTTAGGGTCAAATATGCCTCCTTAGTCTTAATTTATCGAAATTGGAGGACTGTGGAGGATGTCCTTGAACACTACACCTTACCGTAGTCCAAAGCCCATCCAATCACCAAGATATACTAACATGTGCAAGAGTAGGCTTGTAATCTATGAAACACGGATACTTTGTTGAGGTCAGCGTACCGATATCGGATACGATATTTGTCGGATACTCGATGATACGCATTGGATACACCTTCTACTNGGATACGATACTTGTCGGATACTCGATGATACGTATTGGACACACCTTCTACGTATCCGATAATAATTAAATATTAGGATATTTCACGGATACTTTTGTGTTCAAGCAACATATATAATTTTTGAGTTGAATTTTTAATATTTCCTTTCGAATTTACATATCATACAATACATTAACAAAAATTCATATTACTTCAAAGGCACATGTGTATTTTTTAAGTATTATCTATAATTATATGTCAAAAGAGCATAAAATAAATCTATAACGTTATAGTCCGAGCAAAAATTACTTCTAAACAAACCAACTCAATAAATATTAGTTTTTATTCCTCTAATTAATCACTTCACATTGTGAATATACCATAATGATACGATATATATTTTCTTAAAACTAAAAAAAATTACTAATTTTCCTTATTGTATTAAAGAGTTAACAAAATATATAAGTTTTAAGTTGATTGAAAATAATAAAAATATTTTATTATAGTCGTGTCTTGACCGTATTCGTATTCTATTTTTTTAGATTTTGTCGTATCGCCGTATTCGTATCGTATCGTATCGTACTCGTATCCCGTATCCGTGCTTCATAACTTGTAAAATAGTAGTTAACTAATCAAGGAACATATGTAAATGGGACCAAATTGATAACGACCTCAAAATCCAATTTATGTACCAAGAGTTCTTCTAAACTAAATGGGTGCTTTCAATCTTATGCTATTTCCAAATAGCTTGGAATCCTACAGAGGGATGGCAAGAGAGATGGGTGTGCACCACCACATAGAGTCCACACGAATTTCCCAATACCTAAGAGCTCTGCCTTATCAATTTAAGCCAAATACTTGGGGTCAGCAGAACAAATCCTACACTATCATATTATGATGACGCACTCCCTCACCCTTATGTCCACCAAGTCACTGCCATCTAGTCTTGCCACATGTGAACACAGTCAACCAACACAGCCACACAGACGGAAGGAAACCTTCAATCAGTAACGACCTTTAGCAAAAGTGAAATATGAGATTACTACCTCAGTTCCATCTATCTTGCAACTTTTTTTGGTACCTTCAGTAAGGGGCATCATCATTGATATTAAATTTAAATAGAGAAGGCTCAATATGAAGTGAGGAAAGAACGAGCAAAAGAATAACATAGCACCTCTACAATGTCATGAGAAACCCCAATCCTCAAACAAACGTCCAACAACAAAAGGTAAGGATCCGCACCTGTTATTTGAAATAGAATTGATATGATAGTCATGCGCATGTGCGTATACTCTTCTACATCTTGCCACAAGACTGGTCTCATTGCTGGTTACCTAAGGATTGTACTCTTACATGGTAAGTAGAATCAAGTAGAGGGACTGAAACAATGTAAGCTACAAATTCAGCAAATGACATAAGAAAAGTGATGTTTAACTTTTTAAAACCTATTTACAATGGATAGTATCAGCTATACTAAAGATTGATGCACAACAAGTGCTAAGGTCTCCAATCACCCAAGTGCAAGGTGTTAGAATCCAAAGCCTTCATCAGTGTACACACTAATATGTTTTCCAAATACACATACAAATTCATGTCTCCATAAGGTAATTGCAAAACTTAAAACCATATAATGAATAGCGCATGTGCATATGCATTTGGACTCGAGATAAATTGAATTTTCACATTTTGACTCAACTGAAAAAAGCCCACAGATTTGCTGGAAGGTTCATTTTTGCACTTCATTACTTGGATGCATGGCTAAACCCAAAATAACAAATGATGGAATAACTAGTTCATACGCCAAAAGATATCACGGGAACCTCACTTTACCGTATAGCTGCCTTTTCTTTCTATGTATGTATGTGGGCATAGTTAGATAGTATCTTCATTCCTCCTCTAGAANTTCATTTTTGCACTTCATTACTTGGATGCATGGCTAAACCCAAAATAACAAATGATGTAATAACTAGTTCATACGCCAAAAGATATCACGGGACCCTCACTTTACCGTATAGCTGCCTTTTCTTTCTATGTATGTATGTGGGCATAGTTAGATAGTATCTTCATTCATCCTCTAGACCTATTTCCGTTACCTTCATTTACTTTCTTATTTTGTAGGTCTTTTGAAAAGTGTGTGCACCTTTGACCTTTCATAACATGGCCAGGTTAATTTGAGGGAAAAAGACAGAGCATAGTCAAAAGTGCTCACACACAAACGTGCAAACAGTCATCTACCAGAACACCATAGTAGCTACTCAAACAAAATATGTGACTTGAGTACAACTACCACAGGTAAACGTAATGATCGAAGGCCACCCGGTGGGATTGAAATGTCACTGCTCAAACCATTGTAAGATTTATCTGGATATCCTCCATTTGCAAGATAATGCTTAGGACTGGAAGTAACACTTGAACTGGCAAGAGTGCCATTTCCAACAGCCTTGGAAGTGTCCACGTTCATGTCAGAGATTTTCTTGACTTTCTTCTCTTGAACCTGTTTAACACACACAAAGAAATGCAATATAACTCATCAAAGGTTACATACAAGAATAAAAGAGAACACCAAACTCAATATCTACTTCAGAAACTATTAAATGCGAACAAAACAAACCAAAAATCAGAACCATTTATCAAGGGTTAGTTACATTCCCTCGACAACTATTTCTATTTCTATGTCATAAAAGCCAGAATGAGATGAAGCACAACCAAAATTTTTAATTGAAAACTTCATAGACGACCTCCTGCACACTATTCGCCTGGCCATCTCTGTTCAAATAAGTTGGCTTACTTCATCTTGCACTCTTAAATTATGCAATTATCTTGTAAGATATATTCTCAACTCAACTTGACCAAACAAAGCATCACGACCAACTCGTTCAGGTTGGCATGGCAAGGGCAGCCCATCGTTAATAGCAACATCAAAACTCGAATAACTTCAGGAGCATGTTCATTGGGTGATTGTACTTCATATTGGCCCTCTACCTGCCTGGTAGAAGGGTGACATTCATCTTGCACCATTATGTTGACATGCATTAATTGGATTCCATAAGAACTAAACTCTATTCAAGTTCAAAATAATACAGACAGCTCTTGGCAACCAACAGTGTTTAACTTCAGCCACTGAACTTATGTTTCCCAAGCTTTTGAGAACCACTCATCTCTGACATGTCAGCACAAGAAATAGGATTGTATCCAGTAACCCTACTACATATGAAGTGGTTGAACATTTTTTATCATCCAAAGTGAGTTTATAGATGAAATGGCTAAAATAAAATCATCACCATCTTTTAATTTTGACTAAATGGATAGATCTGACAAATGGAGGGACAACTTTTTCTTCTGCTGTCCTGGCAGTCCTGACTGATTACAAATAGTGCACATCATTTACTCAACGATTAGTCGAACAGAAAAAATATAAGCACCAATATCACCATTCACAAGCATTGTTATGTGTGATATGCCTTCGATTCCTATTCTACTCCCAAGTTCCAACAATTAGAATCTGTAACTCTGCAGCATAAGGATGTGCCATTATACATAGAGATTGCACCCTTCCGGAATCGATTAGAACCGTTAGTGCCTACATCAGCACGATGGCCTTGAACACAGTAAGCACAATACATGCAATTCGATAATAGACACCTCCCATGAAAATAAGCATGCTGCAGGAAGATTAATACAAATTAAATGAACCCATACAACAACACATAAATAAATTGAATGAACACATACATCAAACGAAAGCACCAAAGTTAAGTTATTTAAATACCCATAAGTCCTAAAAAGTCCTATAAGAATCTTGCAGGAAAAGAAGGAATTCAAATGACTACTCAGGCCTTCAATGAATAATTAACGCGTGCAATCAAAATCTCTCATGCAATAGTACTAGAATGCTTACAAGGAAACTGAAATCATACTAAAAAAAAGGAGCAATCAAGGGATATGCAAGTGGCTGGAATATAAGGCACACAATTACTACCCTATAGAAACAAACCTAAATAGAGAAAGCCTATATATGCTATTCAAAAATAAATCTCTCACCTTCCAAAACTTGATGGTTTTATCGTTAGTGGACAGAAGAAAGAGTGCACCATTAGCTGTTTGGCACCATCTAATCTTATTGATTTTCTCCTCAATCTCCAAGCTCTTGAGATAATCAAACTGGATGCAAAAGATGTAATGAAATAAAACAATCACAACTTCAGGGAAAAGCTAAAACAATGGTAACATATGAGGCCTTTCTAGGAAAGCAAGCTCCCTAATTAATGCGCTTTTCTTCTGGTTTCCGCAAAATGCATCGATGGTATAAAGATTCTTTGGTCAAGTTGCATTCGTCTTTTGAGCTTTGATGCTCTCCAGTTTCACCATTTGAGTACACTAGTGATTCGCCCCTCATATCTAATGGTTTTAGTGGGCTGCTTTACGTCCCTCATATATAGCGGCTTTAGCGGGGACTGCCTTACATACACCAAAAATGAAAGGTTAAAATGAATACCTCAGGCTCATGGCTCTGAAACTCCGTTTTGTAACGGAACTCTGGATGCCTACCAACTGGATAATCCATCCTCTCTAAATCTCTTCGACTTCCACCATGCTACACTTGGTATTTTGTATAAGAATTAAAATATTATGAAAGAATAAAGAGTAAGGTATAGCATTAAGTCCAGGGCAATAAATGAAATCCCTTGGTGTGTACAAACTTACCTCCTTTGTATCAGTCCTCTCAAATAACACTACTCTGCCCCCACGGTCTCCAGTAGCGAGGTGGTCACCAGTTTTATCAAACTCAATTGCAGAAATAATATCAACTGCAACAATTTAAATACAATCAAACAGATTAGCAGATCCCAATATAGGCTTCCCAATATTCGATGCACAGAGACCAACAATTATTTAGCATTTACCATCATTGTGGCAAAGTTATCCAAACATTTATACAATGCATACACACACACATGAAATGACATGGACAGAGAGATAATCAATTAGCAAATCACTCCTTAATGAGAGCATGGAAAGCATTAGTCCAATAATCAGTGATCATCCTCTACTATCCCGCGTCATGAAACCATAAATTCAACTATACTCCTTCCATGTATCCTCCCCCTTAATTCGGTTTGTTCCTAAGGCGTGAAAAAATTGAATGGCAAGCAGGCGGTTGATAACAATGGAATACAGTGTTCAATACTTTTATTAAACAATAGTTTAGTAAACTCAATAAATTGTAAAATCAGGATGAGGTTTCCCTTTTGAAGGGAGCTAGACACAAGATATGTCAACAAATTTGATTGAGTATTCCAAGTATATTTACCAAAACTTTCGAAAGCAAACAAGGGATATGTGAAGATAGGGAAGGTATCATAAAAAACTAAATGACCAGTCCTCACTGGCAGTTGAACTCGACAATTTATTGGTTAATAGGTGGCATTAAAACAATGCATATCAATAACAACACTGTCCACATTACTCATTGGCTAGCTACAGAGATCCAACCTGCAGTATCAGATTTCAATTTACCACTAATTATACACGATTCCGACACCAAACCAAGTGCATTCACTCAAAAGTACATCAAACTGACGTTCACTCGGCCAAGTACAGCAGCCTAATTTTCATTACTCAATCGTCAANAATTATACACGATTCCGACACCAAACCAAGTGCATTCACTCAAAAGTACATCAAACTAACGTTCACTCGGCGAAGTACAGCAGCCTAATTTTCATTACTCAATCGTCATTCATTCTCAGACGCATCCATACACATGCACAGCACACTAACAATTTCACAACTTAAATCTAATTATTTTCCCTACTACCCAATAAATCAATTTAGTAGTTAGCAACAAACGAACCTCAAAAAGATCAAAAACACATAATCAAACCCTAATCACAGGTATACACAAAAAGAAATGGTGGATCTAGAGGTAATAATATGGTACCTTCCTGAACTTCTTCACCGGCGGTGCGTTCACCGAAGACCTGAGAGAATTTCCACTCGAGCAGCGGTGGTGGGCCCGCCGAAGCTGCCGCGACCTCTCCATCACCACCGTTCATTTTCCGTCAAATCAACAGCACCAATATAAAACAACCAACCGCCACACCAAATCAAAATCAAAATGGAAATCACCGCATCAAGCGATCGCTATTGAGGTTTCGTCTCAAGATCGCAGCTACGGAATCGGCAATAGATTCATGAAAAATGTTGGATTCTTCAGATTCAACCATTACTAGTCCAACGACGACACCGACTCAGGTCTCCCGCATAACATAGATTGAGATTGAGATTTTCTCTCTCCTTCTCTCCCAGTGGAGAGGAGAAAATGGGAAATGGAGTAGCAAACCGTTCTTTGGCTTCGGTTCCTCGGAGAACCATAACACTGTTCTCTCCCTGTCGAAGCTCTATCAATAATATGTTCCCTCTCTATACTTTTTTATATTTTTCGTAATTCTGATAAACTCACCGGCTGTGAATTTGATTAAGTTACTTAACTCATCTGATTGGTCAAAAGCTTGTTATTGATTGGTGAGGNTCCCTCTCTATACTTTTTTATATTTTTCGTAATTCTGATAAACTCACCGGCTGTGAAATTGATTAAGTTACTTAACTCATCTGATTGGTCAAAAGCTTGTTATTGATTGGTGAGGGATGCGGTTTGATAGCAAGCCGGTATGATTAGTAAAAAATGAATAAGAAATATGTTGTTGAAGTTCTTTACACGACCGGGCATTGTTGGAGAGGACACAAGGTGAGGTTGTGTAAAATGACGTTAATGTCCTTTTCTACTCATTTTTGTCTTTTTTTTTTATAATTAAACCGATCTCAATATGAATAGTAATTCTATCCATGCATATCAACTCAAACGCTTTGAGCTCAAGTTTACTTTTGAATTTATTGATACTTATATTTGTAATTGCATGTTTTTTGTTTTACGGTAGTACGTCTATTGCAACACACATTAAAGAAGTTTTTCATTACTCGAAAATAAAAAAAAAAAACATCTAATGGCCAATTTTTCCGCGTTGCATGTTAATGACCAAAATCTTGGTGTTTTTTTGAGATATCGGGTAGTACACGTTCATGGAANAGTTTACTTTTGAATTTATTGATACTTATATTTGTAATTGCATGTTTTTTGTTTTACAGTAGTACGTCTGTTGCAACACACATTAAAGAAGTTTTTCATTACTCGAAAATAAAATAAAAAAACATCTAATGGCCAACTTTTCCGCGTTGCATGTTAATGACCAAAATCTTGGTGTTTTTTTGAGATTTCGGGTAGTACACGTTCATGGAAGATTAAATATAACTAAATCTATCGTCGTCATTTAAAATTTGAGTAGCCCAAATTACAATGAAATAGTCTTTATTTGAGTCACAAATATATTATCATATTGCATAGAATCTTTGCTATGCTTCATACATTATGGTTTTTAATTACAAATATTCCTATGTAGACTGGTAATGGGGAAGATTTATGGTATATTTGCACAGTATAACACTTCTTATTGTAATCAGATGTAACCAACAAGGTAGGTTAACACTTCCAATTGTAATCATCGAAATGTCGAGGTCATGCCAAAACTTTCCTTCCTTGGCCTTTCTTTGCAATTTTGGTTGATGTCCACTTCATCCGATTGTGCTAGGAAGGCTTAAGTTAAAGGGTCCACCACCATAAATTTCAGGTTAGCATAGTGTAAATTCGGCCCATGTCAATCAGGAACAGGCCTAATTAAAATAACGCATGCATTTTCTGCAGTGGCCCAAATGCATTAAGCGCGACCGATCACAAACAATTATACTACCCCATGTCAATCAAAAACAGGCCTAATTAAAATAACGCATGCATTTTCTGCAGTGGCCCAAATACTTTAAGCGTAACCCATATCAAACAATTACTACCCCGTGTCAATAGGTTCGTATCGTGTTTAAATCCCGATGCGTCAAAACTCTCTTATTTCATATCTGATCCATTTTTAATCGTGTGTAGCCAGGTTTGTATTGTATTATGTTTGTGCCATGTTCAAGACTTGCTTAATGGGTTCATGCTAAGGGTGTCAATTTTTGACTCGACACAAACCCGAAAATAACATGATTCGTTGATACGAGTAATAAATGGGTCAAATTAAGGTTCAACACAAATAACACGACTAATGGGTACTATAGATAAAAAATAATTATTTAATAAGTATTTTAGGGAGCATCACCACTTGCTCAATATGGTGGTTCATGCATATCTGACGAAGTTATCACGGAGGAGTCGCATGCTGCGAAAACTTATATAGTTACATGGTCCTAGTTGGGCTTTTTCCCGGTGTATCTAACAATCTTGCTAAATTCGATTCACCACCAGAGCACCTCTCATGACAATTGCCGATTTGGGATGCAGATAAGTTGGGCTGCTTATTCGTTGGGCTCAATCATTTACTCAAGTGTCGGAACAGCCCATAAAATAAAGGTCATTTGATTAGAAGTAAAAGAAGTACTGTCGAGTTCGAACATTTATACTAATAATATAAAACTGATTTTGAATCTTTTAAGTTTTTTTTTGGGTATGGTGGAAAAGAAAGAACTNATTTTGGTTGATGTCCACTTCATCCGATTGTGCTAGGAAGGCTTAAGTTAAAGGGTCCACCACCATAAATTTCAGGTTAGCATAGTGTAAATTCGGCCCATGTCAATCAGGAACAGGCCTAATTAAAATAACGCATGCATTTTCTGCAGTGGCCCAAATGCATTAAGCGCGACCGATCACAAACAATTATACTACCCCATGTCAATCAAAAACAGGCCTAATTAAAATAACGCATGCATTTTCTGCAGTGGCCCAAATACTTTAAGCGTAACCCATATCAAACAATTACTACCCCGTGTCAATAGGTTCGTATCGTGTTTAAATCCCGATGCGTCAAAACTCTCTTATTTCATATCTGATCCATTTTTAATCGTGTGTAGCCAGGTTTGTATTGTATTATGTTTGTGCCATGTTCAAGACTTGCTTAATGGGTTCATGCTAAGGGTGTCAATTTTTGACTCGAACATGAACTCGACTCGACACGAACCCGAAAATAACATGATTCGTTGATACGAGTAATAAATGGGTCAAATTAAGGTTCAACACAAATAACACGATTAATGAGTACTGTAGATAAAAAATAAGTATTTAATAAGTATTTTAGATATAAAATAAAAATTTTATAATTTTTTAAATAGTATTATATTAGTTGTTGTCAAATTAAATAATTTTTTTATTAACACGAATATTGACACGAACCCGACACGTACCGAAAGTGATACGACACGAAAATAACACGACCGAAAGTGACACTACACGAAACTGATATGACACGACACGATTGACACCCCTAGTTCATGTTATCTTTAACTAATTTGATATCGACCTATTTGTTTGGCAGGTCCAATAGTTTTACGTGTTTATCATCCGAATTCATTGTACTAAATTCTAATTCATTAATTTCGTATCGATTTTGTGTTGAATCCATGGACCATCTTAATAATTGTGGGGCCTAGNTTTCCAATGCATGCTAGCAAGCATTTTTGGCAACCAGTTGACGGGGTATTTATATTTCTAATGCACATATTATGAACCAGTTGATAGAAGAAAATGAGATGGGCCATTCAATTTCATTCCAAATTTTCTTTTTATTGCCCTTGTAATTGACGATCAGCTAATTAACAAGGTTCAATGCAGAGTCACTGACAATCTCTTGGTTATTGAGGAAGTTTTTCCATACTTGGCGTTGGGGCAATCCCTCGGAATGTGGGTTGTGTTTTCAATAAGTACATTGCCTCTATTGTTGGTGGGTTCAGCTATAATATTTCTTGTGGCTCTCAAGTTATTTGAAAAAAGCATCATGTTTAACCGGCCACAAGAAACATTTAATTTTCTGTGGTACTTTTAGCTTCCATATCCATTCCCTATCAACCAACAGAGGATAAATGATTTTCTTCTGAGTAAGGAGTCTATAAGCCTCATTTGTACAAAATTTCTCATTACTAAACCCAACTCTAGCTAAGGGAATCCTCAAATATTCTATCATAGGGGAAGGGGTGAATTTGAGCTCTTGGAGAAGTTCAGGGCTAAGAAACAAACTTGCAGGCAACAGATACTAATTACCTTCAAGAGTGATGAACTTTACCACTGTGCTATGGGGATTAGCTGTCTGAGTAGCTTGCATGACCTGTTGCAGAGGTTTTCCTCATATCCACCAGTCTTTCCAGAAAGTTATTTTTTCCCCATTTCCAGCAATCCACTTATTACCCTCATCAATCAAGTGTTTTGGTTTTATTGATAACTCTCCATATTGGAAAAGCAGAAGATTTGGGATGCCATTCTTCATGAGCAGATTTAAATATTTTCTTTTAAGTGCTTCAACACAAAGTGTTTCATGGTCTTTCTTTATTTTCCATCCTAATTTGGACGGTAGGGGCCTCCTACCTCTATAGGTGTGCGGACTTGAATCTTTAAGTTAGCCGACTATAAGAGTAACTGAGATTTATTTAATCTAATGGTTCAAAATCATCACCAAAAAATTCTCTCTCCCTCTCCCCAAAACTTGAAAACCCCAATCAGCCCATTTCATTTCACCTTAATTAATGTCAAACTTAGTTTTCTCTCTCTTCAATCTTTTTTACTTAGTATCCTCTCTCTTCAATCTTTTTTTTTTCCTCTCTATTAGGGATACAAATTAATATATTTTTTGATTGTAGGATTCTAAGGAAAATTTGTTGAAGTTTAATCTTAATTTCTAATAAATATTATTTTTTTAATTATTAATTTCTTTTAGTATTAGGCATGGACAATTTCTAATATGTTTAGTATGGTGGAGTGTCATCACTTTGGACAAGTCAGTCTTGTTTGAAAAAAATTGACTTCTTAACACTTTTTAAGTAATATTATTTGTACCTAAGGTGTTCACTATAAAAAAAACATTTGGAGAAGGATAGCCTAACCCCCGAAATGGTCCTTCCCCACATTTCATACGGCTTTGACAGCATGCCCCAAAATACGATGCCGTTTTCATTTCTAATGGACCACGATGGTCATAAGGAGGGTATATTGATGGTTCAAGCCTTTAATAGACTGGTACCAGTAACTCAAAGCAATGATACAATTCTTGGACTACTAATAATTTTCAGTGCTCACCAGACACCATTGTCAATCAGTGCCTACGATCAATAAAAAATTATTACATAATTTATTTTGTCAAACACGTAAAAATATACATTATTTTGTACATAATATATTGTCAGGTGGTATCGCCTGCCAAGCATAATTTTTTTTTCTTTTTCTCGATCTGAATATGATATAAAATTATTATATATTGAAATTTATTGTCAATCTAAGAACAAAAATGGAGTAGATAGGTTAATTGGATCACCAAATTA